ATGCAATAGTGCCTATCACACACTGCACCTGCCTTACGAGCAGAGTTTGAATCTAAATTTTAATGTAGATGTCCTTGCTCTGACATGCAAGGAAAAATCATGTAAAAAAAAGGCACAATAACAGCACTATAATACTATAACAAAAAACACAACATAAATATTTGTCTTTTCCTATGTATGGCTATTCCCAGATGCAGAAATGGGGCATTTAAGACAAGAGCAGGTACATGGTTTGGGACTAATTTGAATCCATTTCTGTCACTGGATTGAAGCTTTGACTGCTCCACTTCCTAACAAGCTTTCCTAAACAGGGATAACTTGCCAAGATTTGGTGATACAGTCACCTTAAGGTTGTCATATGTTGTAAACTATGTGAAGACAAACAGCAACAGCCAGTTCATTTAATTGAATTTGGGATTTTTATAAACATTAAATTTGAATTACCCACAATAATAAATGTATTGTTTATGGATTCTGATATAAACCTTCTCGGTGGTGGCCCCCCACCTGTGGAACTCACTCCCTGGGGAGATTAGATCAGCGACTTCCCTTTTTTCATTCAGAAGAAAATTGAAGACCTGAATGTGGGACCAGGCTTTTAGACAGTCTGGCAGCTGAAGAAAAGACCTTGATGATGGGCAGGAATTGATGGAACGGAATGGATCTATGGAACTCTGAACACTGAGCATGAGATTGTTTACTATTATGTTATGTACTGTTGTTTTTAAGCTGTTAATTGTTTAACTGCTTTTATGTATGTATGTATATTTGATATAGGCATCGAATTTGTGCCTTCCCTTGTAAGCCGCCCTGAGTCCCCCCTTGGGGGTGAGAAGGGCGGGGTAGAAGTAAGTGAAATAAATAAATAAACAAACACCCCTGTATTTTCTTGTCTAACATCTCAAATCATGGATTTTAGGGGCTACATTAGCCAGTGAGAACAAGAAAATACTCTGTGTTGCATTTGATCATATTTTCAACCAAGTTATTTTTCAACTCTTCATATAATGGCATTTTGTGTCACTATTTCTAGGCATCACTCGGAATAACGTTGTTGTTATAACAGACATGTTAACACAATACATAAAATTAAATCAAGTTAGGTTTTTATTAGACTTATTTTTCATATAATAATTGTACTTTAACTGCCATAATCTTTGTCTGACATTTCAATTGCTAGTTGAAAACTAAAATAAAACAGATTCCTAATGAAACAAAATACTAACACTTCCAATCCTTTGATGTCATTTTAAAACATTGCATTTTATTTTTAAGTTTATTGTGTTATTGGAATTGCTTAAGTAATATTCTCTGATAATAAAAATAGGGCTGATTCAATTAAAACTGTGTTTGTATCTTGATGGGGATCTAAATTGACTGATTTTACTGAGCAATAAGAACATCAACACTACCAAGCAATTACATCTCCAATTCACTAGCTGGGGGGATTTCAAGGGAGGAAGGTCACTTTAGCCGCCTCCAGACTGCTTACAACACACTCTCTGAATGTAAAACTGTGCCCAAACATTGGGCGTTGTTTCTACAATGCCCAATGTTTGGGAAGTCCACAAGTATGAGACCAAGGTTTTGCCTACATTCACTTAAAAAAATGTACTCATCCTTTATTGCAATCCTGCCACACAGCATTCTTGACAATTTGCTTGCAATGTGGTTCTGTAGATTTTAATCAGTTTTTTTTTAAAAAAAATAATAAAACCTCACTTTTAACCCTGCAGATTTAGAGAAGATCCAGGCATATGGCCAGCTCTCAAAGTGGCATTGCCTCACTGTATAATCGGAGCAGAGGAGAGAGAACTGGTTAGTAGGAAGTGAGTATAATTGGAAGAAAATGCAACTTTCCCTGGTTGAATTTTTTTTCATCAGTGTAGACAAGCTCCAAGAGCACTCTCACACTTTCATTTCCTAACAAGTGATATTCTGAAAATGATACTAGCCCAATTCTAATTTCAGTAGCATGTTGACTGGTTTCTTAACTAGCAGAGGTATAGTTAGTGGGGAGGGGATAAAGGTATTGCCCCATGATATTAATTCCTGTCATCAATGAGTTTTCCCTTACACCTCCAAATTTCTAGCTTTGCAAAGAGACACTAAAAATCATGCATACACAGATTTTTTTATATTTGTTGTGTTTGAATTCTCTTGATAATTTTACCTGGCTTTCCCTTTCTCTTTCTCTTTTTTCTTTCTCTCCCTCTCAGCCTCTTCCTCTCAGCCTGTCCATCTCCCCCTCTCCCTCTCTCGGATGCCTAAACTCTATTTCTCAATGTTTAGCTAATGTTTGCCACCTCCTTTTCCCAGTCTTTTCCCAGACTTTACATCAGTCTTTACCTATGTCAGAAAAGGAGCCTGGCAGCCAGGAGCTCTCTAGAATTCCATGGCTGGTGCTCACATAAGGAAGCTCATCAAGCAGGGGTCAGTCTGACTGGACAGTATGTGTGACGGCGTGTGTGGCGCCTCATATATTTAGAACTGTTACTCATATATTTAGAACTGTTATATTTAGAACTGTCATATATTTAGAACTGCTACTTCAAAGCCAGCCAATTCCCCTAAAGTTCAACAAAGCACGGCCGGGAGGGTGCCATCGTCTCTGTCAGAGTCCATCCCTGTAATTAAGCCTCAGAGATACCACCTGTCTATGTGGGAACAAAAGGATGACGTCTTTCAGCAGGATCCAGATGTTCTCTGATTGGCAAGGCATGGCCGGGAGTGAGCCACCACATCCATCCCTGCATACCAAGCCAATTGTTTCATCGCTGAAGATTAAAGCTTCAGAGGCGCTGCCTGCGAGCAATCTGCTGAACTCAACATCTCCTACCATCATAACGAGACGTGTTCAACCGAAGAACATTGCCTTTGTCACACCACAGCAGACTCCTCAGATGTATCCCTACACACCGGATTCACAATTGGGCTTCCTCCTGCGTAATCCCAGAAGAGATATCAGAGACAAAGGCGTCCAGAAATTCACCGACCGGCCAGACGACTACCTCCTGTGGAAAATTACCTTCAAGAGGGCCATCCGAGATTTCAAATTAGAAGCAGATGAAGAATTGTCTCTTCTTATGGCGTGGCTTGGATCCAGCTCAGCTGAGCAAGTAAAGAGGCTCTATGCTGCTCATGTGTCAGACCCTCAAAAAGCATTGTCCACAGCATGGTCTCGCTTGGACCAGCGCTACGGTTCGAGCACTGAGATAGAAGCGTCCCTCATGGATCGACTCAACAGGTTCCCATCGTTGAAGATGAAAGATTACAAACAGCTTTGGGACTTCAGTGATCTTTTGTTAGAGCTAGCTTCAGCCAAAGGAAATCCAGAGCTGCCAGGATTGGCATGTCTGGATCAGCACACGTCGCAGAGTGCCATTCTCTGCAAACTTCCCTTTCCCCTTCGAGAAGCTTGGGGGAAAGAGGTGTTCAAGTACAAGGAGGCAAATGCAAATGTATACCCGCCCTTCAACTTTTTGGTGGATTTTGTCACCAGAGCAGCCCGTGAGAGGAATGACCCTCAAACAGGTCTTCCCGCTTTGTACCAAGGCCTAAAGCCTGAAAAGACCTCCAAAGAAGACAAAGTGCAGGGCAAAGAACTTAAAAGGAACTTGAGTGTCAAGATGACAGACACTACTCCTCCATCTTCAGTTCAACCAGTTGGCAACAGCAGCATCACCTGTCCCATTCATCAGAGGCCACACAGCCTAGCTGAATGCAGAGAGTTCGCGAAGAAGCCCTATAAAGAGCGACTTCAAATAGTTCAAAAGGCCAAGGTGTGCTTCAGATGTTGCGGCTCCACTATTCACTTCTCCAAAGACTGTAAAGAAAAGGTGAAAAGTCAACATTGCAACAGCCTCAAGCATTGCTCCGCAATGCACAATTTTGATTCCCCTCAATTCAAAGCCAAGTCAAAGTCCCCTGTCAAAGAAGAGACCAAAGAAGTGAAGGACCAAAAGCCTACAGAACCTCAAGTAGCCCTCAAGGCTCCTGCCGTTGCCTGTACCAAGCTTTGCCAAAATAACATCAAGCCCAGGATTTGTCACCCAATCTGCCTGGCAGAAGTGTATCCAGACAAGCAGCCGTAGAATAGGAAAAAGGTCTACGTCGCCCTGGATGCCCAAAGTGATGCATCGCTTGCAACCCCAGAGTTCTTCGACATGTTCGACCTTCACACCAAGACAGTGGAATACACCATATCCACTTGCTCTGGAAGGAACAAGATGTGTGGCAGAGTTGCAACTAGGTTCAAAATTTCACCCTTTGGACAAAAGGCCAGTTACGAACTTCCTGACCTTATAGAATGCAGCCTGATCCCCAGGAACAAAGAACAAATGGCCACAAAGGAGGTGGTTCAAGCCCGTCCTCATCTCAAAGGCATCCAAGATCTAATTCCAGCTCTAGACTTGGAAACAGACATCGTCATGCTTATCGGCGCAGATTGCCCCATACTGTTCTGTATTAGCAACCAGATTGAAGGTCCTAAGGGATCACCCATTGCCCAGAAGTTGCCTTTAGGATGGACGGTGTTAGGCTCAGTCTGTCTGAACAAGATGTTCCAGCCTGTCACTAAAAGGCCTTCACTAATGCAAGGATGTGCCAGTCACATCTCAGTTTGTTGCCAAGGAGTAATGCCCAATTACTCTTCCATCTTCGAAGTCACAGAGAGAGATGAGCAAACAGCCTTCTCTAAAGACGAACAAAGGTTCCTTGAGATGATGAACAACCAAATCACTCAAGACCCCCAAGGTAATTGGATAGCACCTTTACCTTTCAAGCTGGAAAGACCATCTCTACCCAACAACAGAGATGTTGCCCTTCATCGTCTCCTGTCTTTAAGAAGAAGGGTGCTGAAAGATCCAAAGGTGAAGACCCAGATCACCCAGTTTGTAGAAGACCTCTTCAGCAGCAACTACGCTGAACCAGCCAGTGCGTGTGCGGAGGAGGAGGAAGACGCCGATGGTGGGCCTTTCTTGCCGCAGCTGTCGGCGGTGATGACGGCCGTTCTGTCCCCATGGGCGTGTGACAGTGACCCGGCTACTCCTGCAGCCCAGTCCTTCAAGGATGATACTGGAGAAAATTCAAACGATGGCAGCCAACCATCTAAAAGATCACGAATGAGCTCAGAGAATAGTTCACAAAGTTATGAAACATCAAACCAAGATCTTAGCTTTAGCTACTTTCCAGCGGAAAACCTGATAGAGTACAAATGGCCGCCTGCTGAAACGGGAGTATACTACATGCTTCAAGAGCAAGTCAGTGAATACTTGGGTGTGACCTCCTTTAAGCGAAAGTATCCAGATTTAGAAAGCAGAGATCTATCTCACAAAGAGAAACTCTACCTCGGAGAACTAAATGTCTCTGAAGGCGAATGCGCTCTTGAAAACCAGGAGGAACCTCTGCTGGCAAGACCGAAAGCAAGAGAGAGAGATTCCACTCCAAGAAAAGAGGGTTCCAAACGATCTGTATCCAAATTGGTTCCTGGGTACAAGCCAAAGGACTTTCCAAATGCTATATGTGGGATTTGTCTGAAGGGTAAAGAGTCCAACAAGAAAGGGAAGGCGGAAGCCCTTATACACTGCTCCCAGTGTGAAAACAGTGGCCACCCTTCCTGCCTGGACATGTCTGCAGAGCTTGTGGCAATCATTAAGACCTATCCCTGGCAATGCGTGGAGTACAAGACATGCATCATATGTGGCCACCCTCACCACGAGGAAGAGATTATATTCTGCGACGCATCCACCAAGGCTATCGCTGCAGTTGCATACGCCAGACAGAGAGGCATCAGTACCTGCTCTTCAGGATTTGTGATGTCAAAGACTAAAGTAGCACCCATGGACTTTTCAGTGCCCAGAAGAGAACTCTGTGCCACTGCCTTAGCTACTCAGTTAAGGCAAACTGTCAGAGAAGAAATAACTTAAAGAAAAGGACAATCCCAGACACCAATGAACTAAGGGTTTTGTTTTTTAAGTTATATCCTAGCTTGGACGATAGAGTGTGCAAGGCCCAAGTTAAGGTTGTTTCCAACAAAAAGGTTGCCTTGCCCAAAAATAGTTGTTTAAAGAACTTGTACCTCTTCCTAGACTATGAGGGTCTCCTTAGGGTTGGAGGTAGACTAAAGAGAGCAAAGATTAGGTCTTGTGTTAAAAATCCTGTTATTTTCGCAAGACATACAGTCTTAAAGTTATAATAGTTAAAGGTGTTTAACTTTATTTGGTTTAGATTTCCGAAAGTCCGGAAATCTAGACCGGGAGTGTGACGGCGCGTGTGGCGCCTCATATATTTAGAACTGTTAGTTGCAGGATTTTAAACTGCCATTTTATTTCTGTCTACCTTGTACATGTATAGTTAAATTTCATTGGTTATTATAGCTGTCAATTTATTGTTGTTGTGCACCAATTGGCTTGTTTCCCCAGTTCAGTTGTTTAGGCTCCGCCCCTTCCAAGGGAGAAAGGGAAGGTTTCTCCCTCACCTTTTTTACCTCAGTTAAAGACTCATTGGATGGACGTGTCCAAAAGCTTGGCCCAAAGCCCCTGGTCAAGGCATTTTTTACTACCAGTTCTTAGGTTTATTACCCCTGAGTCTTATTCTTTACGTTCAGACCACCCTGAATAGAATTGTGAAGACCTCAGGCGCCTTCATTCCAGTTCTTTGGCACCATAGGAAGGTCTTGTCCTTCAATTTAGGCCACTGAACTGGGGTTGTGGTTTGCTCCGGCATCCACAGCCATTGAGAGAGAGGGAACAGGAAAAGCTTCTCAGCTTATTACTCCTGGGACCCTGGACTTAGAGTTTATAAAGTATTTTTTCCCAGTTGAAACATAAAGTTTGTGCCTAAGAAAGAGAACTGTTAACAATAAACACCATTTCAAGTCAATTGCTGTTCTGGTCCTTGGGAGTTCCAGTTTCCCTAAAGGAGGGCAAGAAGCAATCCCCTGGGGAAAGAAGTCACGTCCATGCCTCTTCCTCTATAGCCCCAGGCGCGACGGCACAGTATGGACTCCTTAGAATCCTGGACAGGACCAAAGAAGAATTGCACGAGATTAGCCTCGGATTTTGTGGCCCGTGTAGATGAACCCTCAGTTTCAAAAGGACCTGAAGCCTTGGTAACTACAACAGTAGCCATTTGCAGAGTGAAGGGGGCAGAATTCTAACTTGGAGGATGTAATGCTATACCTTTGCCCCCCCCCCCAGGCTACATCATAGTTTACTAGCCAAGTCAGATTTGAACTCAACACTCCTATTTTTTGATAACTAAAACTATTGTTCCACCTTATGTATACACAGATTTAACTGGAAAATTACCACTAAGTGTTACTTGAGAGTATGAAGTAATAAAATAACCATGTACACTTGTTTTTAAAATCCCTGAAAAGGCTCTCAGTATGAATTTCAGAGGTTCAGTGGGCCCTTGTTGCTCCCCCATATTACTGAATGGGGATAATATGAATGCAGGCACACTAAAATGTACACATTCACATGATTGCCATTTAATAATATGGTGTGATTGTCCATGGGTTTTTTTTTCCAATCTCAGATCCAAATCCCTGTATATGGAAGCCCTACTGTAGTGAATAAGTTACTCGATGGGTAGAAATTTACTGATACTAACTGTATTACCTGATTGGATTAGGTCTTTCTTGGGGCATCAAATCAGTACCTCTGAAGAGAGAATATTTTAGGGATGATCAGTTCTGTCACAGTAATATCTACGTATTTAACGATTGGCATAAAGAATTAACCAAATTTATATGGAAAGGGAAAAAGCCAAGGATCAAACATATACATCTAATAGATTCGACAACAAAAGGCGGATTAGGTCTACTGGATTTGAAGCTATATTATGAAGCCTGCGGATTAGATTGGATAAAAGATTGGATATTATTAAAAAGGGAAAGACTTCTGTCACTGGAAGGCTTTGATCTAAGAATTGGATGGCACGTGTACCTTTGGTACAACCAAATTAAAAAAGAAAAAAATCAATAACCATTTTATCAGAGCAGCCTTACTAAAGATCGGGAATAAATATAAACTTAAATTATATTCAAAAACCCCACTCTGGCTTTCACTGTTAGAAGCTGGACAACGAAGATTATTGGGTTGGACAAAATGGCCCACTTATAAAGATATGTTAATAAAAAAATGATAATACCCTTAAATTGAAAACAAAAGAAGAGTTAGCTCACTCTTTTAAATCAATCTCGTGGCTTCAACATCTTCAATTGAAAGAATGTTATAACAAAGACAAAGAAATAGGATTCATGGAAAAAGATTATTTTTGGGAACGGATCATACTGAAAACAAAAAATCAATATCAAAAATTTACAACAAATTGTTAGACTGGGCCACAGAAACAGAAAATGTAAAGAACGGTATGATTAAATGGGCAAAAAATATCGGTCGAACAATAAAATTTAATGAATGGGAACAAATCTGGAAAAAAATTAAATACACCTATTTGGTAAATATGAAAGATAATTGGTTTAAAATGTTTTTTTAGGTGGTATATAATGCCACAAATATTAGGCTTAATGTATAACAATGTTCAAAATAAATGTTGGAAATGTGAAACCCAGGTAGGCGCATTCTTCCATGTCTGGTGGTCCTGTCCTAAAGTCAAGACATACTGGAAAATAATTCAGGAGATAAGTGGAAAGATCCTCAAAATCAAGATGCAGCTAAAACCGGAATATTTTTTGCTCGGAATAATGGACAGAGATCTAGAATTAGACAAAAATAAGGACATTCTAGGTTCTTGTGGGTTTTTTCGGGCTATAGAGCCATGTTCTAGAGGCATTTCTCCTGACGTTTCGCCTGCATCTATGGCAAGCATCCTCAGAGGTGTGAGGTCTGTTGGAATTAGGACAATGGGTTTATATATCTGTGGAATGGCTGGGGTGGGGCAAGGAGCTCTTCCCTGCTGCAGTTGAGTGTGAATGTTTAGCTGATCACCTTCATTAGCATTTGAAGGTCTGCCTGAGCCTGGGAAAATCTGTTCCTGGGAGGTGTTAATCTGTGCCTGGTTTTTTCCTCTCTGTTGTTTAGCTGTTATAATTTTAGAGTTTTTTAATACTGGCAGCCAGATTTTGTTCATTTTCATGGTCTCTTCCTTTCTGTTGAAATTGTCCACATGCTTGTGGATTTCAATGGCTTCTCTGTGTAGTCTGACATGGTGGTTGTTGGTGTGGTCCAGCATTTCTGTGTTCTCAAATTATATGCTGTGTCCAGGCTGGTTCATCAGGTGCTCTGCTATGGCTGACTTCTCTGGTTGAAGTAGTCTGCAGTGCCTTTCATGTTCCTTGATTCGTGTCTGGGCGCTGCGTTTGGTGGTCCCTATGTAGACTTGTCCACAGCTGCATGGTATACGGTAGACTCCTGCAGAGGTGAGAGGATCCCTCTTGTCCTTTGCTGAACGTAGCATTTGTTGGATTTTCTTGGTGGGTTTGTAGATAGTTTGTATGTTGTGTTTCCTCATCAGCTTCCCTATGCGATCAGTGGTTCCCTTGATGTATGGCAAGAACACTTTTCCTCTGGGTGGATCTTCATCTTTACTCTCGTGGCTTATTCTCAGTCTTGCAGCTCTTCTGATGTCTGAGGTGGAGTATCCATTGGCCTGTAGAGCCCAGTGTGGTTCAGTTCATCTTGGAGAAGTTGGGGTTCGCAGATTCTTTTTGCACAGTCTGCCAAGGCTTTAATTGTACTTCTTTTTTGACTTGGGTGATGGTTGGAGTTTTTATGTAGATATCTGTCCGTGTGTGTGGGTTTCCTGTAAACAGTGTGACCCAATTGTTGATCTGGTTTGCGTATGACTAGGACATCTAGAAAAGGCAGTCTTCCTTCATTTTCTTTTTCCATGGTGAACTGGATGTTTGGGTGGATGCTGTTAAGATGGTCCAGGAACCTGTTGAGTTCTTCTTCTCCATGGCTCCAAATGGTGAAGGTGTCATCCACATATCTGAACCATATAGTGGGCTTTTTGGTTGCTGTCTCCAGGGCTCGTTGTTCAAAGTGTTCCATGTAGAAGTTAGCTATGACCGGGCTGAGAGGGCTCCCCATAGCTACTCCATCTTTCTGTTCGTAGAATTCATTGTCCCACTGAAAGTAACTGGTGGTGAGGCAATGGTGAAACAGAGCCGTGATGTCTTCTGGGAACCTCTGGTTGATGAGTGCCATGGTGTCTGCTACCGGGACCATGGTAAATAGAGATACCACATCGAAGCTGATCAGTTTGTCGTTTGTATTTAGCTTGAGATTGCTGATTTTTTCTATGAAGTGGGCTGAGTCCTTGATGTAGTGTGTAGTGAGCCCAATATGGCTTTGTAACTGTGCAGCAAGAAATTTTGCTAGGTCGTATGTGGGGGATCCAATGGCACTCACGATGGGTCTATTGTCCTCATAGAAGGACAATAGAATGTCCTTCTATGAGGACATAGAATGTCCTCATAGAAGGACATTCTATTTACCTACCTTACCACAACTGCCAGAATAGTCTTAGCAAAAAAAAAAATGGAAACAAAAAGAACTAGCCACAAAAGAAGAATGGTTAAATAAAATAAAAGAAATTAGGGATATAGACAAACTAACATTGAAAGATTCACATGGAAAACCCTTAAGGAAAACTGATTGGAGACCTTTTGATGAATATATGACTGAACTGGAGAGAGATGAAAGAGGTATAAAAATACAACTAAATAGAATAATAATTTAGAAATACTAATTAAAAGATAAATAAATATGAAATAAAACTTTGAAAGAGGAGGAGATGAAGATGGAAGATAACAGCAGAATTGGAAAACAATGAAGAAGACGATTGGAAGTCAACAACCCCTCACCCCTGCTCTTCCCTCCTATTCTAACCCATATATTTCTTAAGATATTCGTCTCTGTGACGATACCTTAAACCTGTACGTTTTTTCTTTCTT